ATTGAGTCCTTTGTGAGTTTGGGTGTAACGTACGTCTATGTTTTCGGTTTGCCTTACCTTTTTTGGTATTCCGGTAATCTTCTATTGGTATCACTATCGGAACACATGTACATGTAGCCTGTAGATATCATTATTCATTGATGATTTACGGTGGTCAGGAGTACCGCCTGTAAATGTTCCGGTTTGCCCAACGTTTTGGTATTCCGGTGAATTTTCTTAAATTAAATTTGGAGCTGTGGCACATACACACACACAACTTGGGTGTCTGTCTACTTTATTGGAGTTTGAGTATAATTAAACATCTGTTGCAAAATAGTAGAGTGCCCTGTAAGTGAACAATACCATGTAGGATCTGCTGTTAATGTACAGAGAAAAAAGAAACAGTAGAATATACTGTGCAAAAACAGTAACTCCTGTAATGCCAATTGACAATAGAATGTACTGTTAATGAACAGAGATTTTTTTATGCTGAGGTAAATAACAAGACACAATAACGTGACACACACCAGATAATTACGTTATGTAGGGCAGTAAGATGCCTAGGTAAATAACAAGACACAATAACGTGAAGATTACGAATGAATTACTGGTAACTGTACAACCAAATCTATTGGTCTTTAAAAAACGAAAAAATAACCTTTTACACGCACTCAATAATTACGTTATGTGGGGCAGTAAGATGCCTAGGTAAATAACAAGAGACAATAACGTGAAGATCACTAATGAATTACTGGTAACTGTACAACTAAATCTATCGGTGTTTTAGTTACAGACAAATCACTTGTTATATACACCAAATAATTACGTCAAATACAGTGGTAAAGTCTAGGTAATGAATAAATAATAATAACGTTATAATCACCAGATATTCGTGGTAACTGTAAAACCATAAGTATTGGTGCTTCAAAAGCGAAATAATCTCCTTTGTAACCACCATATAGAGACGGTTTAAAACATGTCATTTGGTCATCTGAATATAGAGTGAACATAACGCGATTCGCACTAATTATAAAAACCTTCCGGAAACACATTTCTTTAATCGCGTGATTAGTAGGTTATTTCCAAGTGTCACTGGAGCGAGGAAAAATAGTTCCGTTGATAATTAATAGAAATCACGTTATAAAAACGCGAAAATTTGGTTTAAAAACTACCAAACCAAAAATTCACTACTTGAAAACTCTCTCCTTAAATCAGGTTCTCTTCTGGTGTTTTGTTTACTGTACAACAGTTTAGGCCAAGTTCGGGCAAGGACCATTAGTCAACTAGTGGTTGATCTGTGACGTACCTTACGCCTGCGCACTGGTAGCAACGTGCGAACATCCCTAGTCAAACGCTGGTCAAAATGTCATCGCAAAACTTCTGGATCCTGGCTCTCTGATAGCGTTATGAATGCGCGCGGCTATTGGTTACCAGCGAAGCAACCAACCCCAGTAGGCTGGTTCCAAATAGTCGACTAGCGTAGTCAACCATCGTCGATTAGACAGAGTTCGGGCAAACGTTAGTTAACCATTGGTCAACTATAGTCCTTGCGCGATCTTGGCCCTAGTTGAAACACCAGGCTACCTGAACACCACATGACACTAGCGGGCGCTGTTCATGATATAGATGTACCTTTTATGTATACTTACGCCCATTAACCTTACATAAAAACGGCGCATTTAGGCCTAAAGCTTTTATAATTTTTCTCCTTTTCTTCTTTTTTCCCTCAGGGATTCCTATTTATTGTTTACTCTCTATTTCGTAACATACGAGTAATTAACGTCCAATTAAGGCAAATACTAAATTAAATTCAAATAAAATAAAGTTAACCTTGACCTAATATCCAAAATTGGTCCCATTTCTGATAGAATTTGAAGCTGACTCCGTTAGTGTAAAACATTCATTTTTTCATCGAATAATAGTTCATCACATCTCTTTTTAAAACCAAATGTGATGGGCGTTTCTCATTCATTTTCATTTTGTACCCATGGACTCTACAAATTCAACAATATCAAATTAATCAAATTGCTGTTAACATTAGTATTACCGAATAAAAGATTTTCATTATCCATTGCAATAGAAAAATTGGTCTTCTCCTTAATCCATGAAGATACTGAGGACCAGAATTAAATAGTATGAGAACATGTGCAGAAAAGATGGACTATATGTCTCCTCTTCATTATTACAAAATGTACACAGATTTGTGTCCTTATTTATCTTAAAACAAATTAAATTAGTACCCAGGATCCCGATGAATTAATCTAAACTGATACCATCTTAGTTTAATGTCCACAGTACAAGAATGAGGAATATTGACAATTGAAGACCACTTCGATATTTTAAAGTCGATAATTAGTATGACTTTCACTTGTCCACAAATTTCCTTTTCACATGTTTAGAAGAAACTAAAATGTTTATTCTTTGCGACCCCCTTTGGTCTTTTACAAGTACCTCAAGGTTGAACGGTAAGAAAGGACAATTTATAAGAGAATGTTTCGACATAATATCCCTAAACGATGACTTAATAGCTCTCAACACCCCGCCATACTCTAAAAAGTTGGTATGGACGTTAAAAGTATTCTTAAAATCGTGGAGTGTTACCATTCTCGTCAATTAGATCGCAAATACATTTAACGCTTTTAGATTCCCTTGGTTTATAATAAATACACTTTCCACCGACCTTAATATTATCATTGAACCAAAGAGAACCATTTACATGTAGTACCTCCAATTTGGTTGTGGGCACATGAACCAGAGTAAAATTAAACCACATGAAGTATAAACACGTCCGACCAAAAAGCGTTATGAATGCTCTGTGTACCAGCAAATTTGGCGGAGCCACCTTCTAATAAAAACAAAAATATCATTACAATGTGATTTTTAAAGTATTATATATGGGACCCACCCTGACCATAATCTTGAATCATTTGGTTTTTAGCGACACGGTCGTGCATATCCTTTCCAAATAAAATAAAACATATTATTATTAAAATATTTATATCCTTGATCATATTACAGGGGGGGGGTCAGGAATGGTTAACACAAGGTAGGTAAGTTTGGACAAAAGCAATGATTTCACAACAGCAATAAGCCTCTGTACTGATGACGTCACACTTTGTTTACATGTGCACTTTCCTATGGAGCCAGTGGGGGCCCACTGTCCACTGAGCACCATAGGAAAGCACACACGTAAACAAAGTGTGACGTCATCAGTACAGAGGCGTATTCTGCCTAGCAAATCAAATGTCTCTCAGACCAGTTAAAAATGTGACCACGTAGGGATTGAATAGTCCTATTATAATTTAACAAACCCATAGAATTCAGATCAGTGGATAACTCAACACCAAGAATGCTTGGCCTCAATCAAGTTCACGTTAATCTCTTCGCAAATCTTCCCCTACAATCCCTTCGTTAAACCAATCCAAATGGCATTCGTTTTATCAACGTTAGCTTTCAATCCAGACATATTAGCAAATAGGCCACGAATTCTAAAAGCTGCTGCTTTGACTTCTCGGTATACCCTTTAAAAACAAAAGCGTTTCATCATCGTACTGGGATAATCGAAATTCCGTTCCCTTGACCTTTATGCCCGTAAAGTCTTTGTCATACACACCATCATGGAAAAAGCTTCTGCACACCAAAGAACCAAATAAGGGCTTAACCCATCGCCCTGCCTACAACCTCGCCCGATCAGGAACGATTCAGAAAGGAATCCATTGACGGAAACTGAGGAGGAGGCTTGGTTATGAAGTACACTGATCCATTTTTCTAACTGAGGGACCATGATTAAAATTGTCCAGAACTTTAAAAATAAAATTATGTGAAATAGAATCGAATGCTTTTTCAAAATTAATAAAAAGAAATAAATCCGGAATATTGTTGGAGTCAGCGACGTTCAGTAAATCATACATCAACCGAATTGTGACCTACTGTGGCAAAAGGAGGTATGTCCCGCAAAACTATGTTTTGAGTAAACGACGCCCGAAGTTGCATTCACTAAAAAAAATCTTGTCAAAATCAATACCAGTTTTTTCCTTATTTTGGTAGCCAATGTATCAAAGATTCACACTATGCATTTTTTTTCCAGAAAAAAAAACCACCCCAAAAAGTTGGCGGCGCAATGCGTATTTCTTTTTTCAAAGCCGTTTCTCTCGAAATGAGGTTGACGAGATTCGGCAGGACACTGTTGAAGTTCCTGTGGCATTTCTTTGGAATAAATTAAGCTATATGAATAATTTAGGTATCATTGGAAAGCCAATGATTTGCGTTTTAACATAATGTACTTAACTTGAAAAGTCAAAGGTGGGGGTTATTCTTCATTATGATATGGCAGGTCACATATTTTCTCCAATAAAAAGATCAGTCATATAACCCTTTTGTCTCTCATGAATAATATACGGAGGTATGATTTAAGTCGCTCTGCAATGCAGGCAGAAGCGATTTTATACGACGTGTTTAAAAGAGAAATAGGGCGCCAGTTCTTCAAGTACTGACGAGGCTTGTCCCCTTTTGGTAGGAGAGTAATAATTCCATATCTCTTAGTGACTGAAAGTTGACATGAAATGTAAGCACCTTTCAATGAACATAAAAGGTACCAGGAGAGGTCTGAAGCAAAACAATTATAAAATTCAAAACTAAAGCCATCCGAACCGGGGGACTTTCCATTCTTCATTTTTTTTTATCACGTGCATAAGTTCATCGTGGGATAAAGGCCCCTCTATGCTATCTCGCATAGTGCCGGTATTGGAAAGGATACTCTCATCAGCAGCGGAAAAAAATTGACTGAAGATCAACATTATCATCTACTGTCTGGGTGGAATATAGCCTGGTTCCCCAGGCCAAAAGTTTCTGATTATTCCTGATGAATTCTTATTACAAATATACGTCACGTGACTGAAACGGGAGGAATTCCTCCTTTTTCCGAAAATGTCCGAAGTTTGCCGAATTCATTTCGTAGACAATCGAGTATTTCCGAGTATAATATAGGTTGTATTAACTGCTATTTGCTTATTAAAAACTTTACAAAATGAGTTGATAATTAATATTCATTGCCTTAATTTAGAAAACCTGAAATTAAAAGACAATTTTGTGCATCAAGAATACTTGGATCGTAAATACGAGGGGCGAGCTTTTTGCTGCGTCATGTACATGTAATATTTTGAATTTGATGACCGTTACCGATGGGTTCTAGATTTAGTCCCGCTGGCTTGAATGCTATCCTTATAAGCGGTTTTTAGATTGTTTTGTAGATGCTAATTAGTCCTTTAATCTTTTTTTCAAAAATTCCATATCCTAAAACATTCCACTAGTTCACATTTATTTTAGATGTTCGGAAGTGAGAGGTCGATGTTTGGCACGATATTTCCGTATAGGCTGTTCCAACTGACTCGACCGATATCAAACTACGAACGTCTTGCATGGGCTGGAACGAAAAAAAGTCGAACTACGATTCTCGATTTTCTACGATTTTCTCCTAGTTTTGCCATCTGACCATCTAGCCAAGAACCATTCCACCATCAGCGCCGCCAACGATAGACACGATATACATCCCAAGATGACAAAGGACAAATCGTAGCTGCCACTCTGGTCGTATAGCCAACCTACAAGAAAAGTGGGTGGAAAAAGTTTAACAAACTTTAACAAAGTTATTTGTTGCAGGAACAGTCACAAGAAATGTTAACAATGTCAATTTAGGCCTACTTGTTCTCAAACACAGAACGTCAAAAATTATTTTATAATTTTTTCAAAGTACTGGCGTGATTTTTAGCTTGTGGTATAGTTCAGCTTACTCTGGCCGTTTCTAATCGACCTCATTGTTTAAAGCATCAATTACAGTGTATATTCCGCAAAGTCATAAAATCAGAAGTATGTAATAATTTCATTTTGATATTCGTGATAAGATTATTACATGCAGATACAATGTATATATGTTATGTGTCTTACCTGGAAAGAATCCAAGACTGAAACATAACACGGCCGTCACTAACTCCATCCACGCGAAAGCACATGCCAAAAGATCAGTACCAAGTAGCTCCCTGGTGTACAGATCATTCAGTGAGATAACTGCTCCAAAAGCGCCATAAAAGATGAAGGCATCGGCCATCATCAGCCAGTAGGAATTTACCAAGGGAGTTATCAGTAGAGCCGAGGAGCTCAGCATAATAGTCAGCACCATCGCCGGTCGCAATTTCAGCAGACCTTGGTCCACGATGGGGCCAGACAGGATCTTGATAAGTAAATTTCCGACCCCTGCAGCCGTGGTGAATGTCACAGCGTCGTACGGAGAGAAACCTTTGGCTTGGGCTTGGGAAATGTAGTAGATGTACCACTGGACACCGCAGAAGCTGCTGCAACAGAATATGACCGTTGTGATCCAAAATGGGACCCGGAGACAAACTGAGAATCCAAAATGAGACATCTGAGCGCAGACGGCGTCCTTAAAGGTGATAAGTCGGGATGACAACTTCGAATTGCCAGTCTCCTCAGCACTTGGTGAGTTAACCACTGGTGCTTCATCGATGTCTGGGCCAAGTGGCTGGTACTCACCATTCTTCTTTGTTTCATCAGTCGGTGGTGACTGCAAGAGGGCGCCACACACCCCAAGATGCAGGCCTAATCCACCCAGAATGAGGAAAGTACCTCTCCAGCCATAGGTATTCAGCAGAAGCTGGGTAAATGGCGCCACGGTGATCAAGCCAACAGAGGCCCCCGATGTTCCAATTCCACTTGCTGTGGCATAGTGTGTCGTAAAATGACGGCCCATCAAGCTCCTTGACAGAATATTGACGACACTCAAAGAAGGTCCTGAAAGACGAGAATACGAGCGAGTCATGATGGGTCTACAGTTGCGTCACCTGGCGATATGCTTTGCGCCACACTGTCACTGTGTAATACGATTCATTTGGGGTATTACGTCCTGAAATCCCCGACAATTTTATGTTTTTGATAGTTTACTTATCCTATTTTAAGGTCTGGTTGAAAGGAAACTATAACCTTGTCTTACCGTTCCTGAGAAAAGACGAAAATTTGGTTGTTTACATCGAACGCGGCGGAAATTTTGTCGCATACGTATTTCCAGCCGTGTACATTCAACCAGACATTACATGTTGTGTGTTTCACATAATACACACAGCACCATACAACAAAATTGTTTCTCGTACGTCCGCAGAATGCAATGCACTGTGCGGCAGGCTTCACAAGTAGAACTCAACAGCTCAATTTTTCAGTCAAAATAGGAATTTTTATCAAGTAAATGATAAAATCCATTATACTCAACGGAAAACATTGGTTTGGTGCCTTGTGCAAATTTCCATGCTAGGCGTCTTATATCTCACGATTGCGGACGTTATATGAATTCCTCGCCTTTTATAGCAGCGGTCGGGATTCTAGGCAGCCAATCAGCGTTGGGATTGTAGGCAGCCATTTATCGTTAGTGGGTTGCCGCCAAAATGCTAGACCAATCCGTAGGCAGTATACGAATTGATAGATGTGTGTGTGTCATTTTATGTCGCGGCTTCAAAACAAGTATTCAAAATTACAGTGTTTATGTACATGAATACTTCAGCTATAAACTCGTGGTCCAGTCGTAGTTTCTGCATTATGAGGATACCAAATATTATTAATTTTGATATTGGACATCAATACTTTCGAAAGAAATGTATTTGTTTATTGATGTTGAATTTACCATGAGCGGCCTAATGGCTGCACGTTCGTTGCCTTTGAGAGCATTTTCCAACATTAATCGCGGTACATGTAGTACTCGGTGCACGTACGCAGTTATTGGGTCTTGCTGAACTTTTCGCCATCAGTCACGTAACCGCACCTGTAGCATAATGTTGTACCAGTTTCAGGAAACCATATTTGTTGGTCAACCTTTTTGTTTTCGTATAATTTTTATACTCAACTAAAGTTAGTTAACGAGTCTTGAGTTCGAAATCTTTTACAACCAACCGGACTTTTGCATTCCGATGGGCTGTTTCTCGGCACTTATTTGTGGGGTTTTTCCCTCTTGGATTTTGACCCTTCAATTTTGAAATCAGAAAGGGTGTGTTTGCCTTGAGGGTTTTTTCACTCCGCAAATGTGTTGGAGGCTGTTCTGAGGAATCATGCGATCGATTGGTGAATTTACAACAATGTTCTTGGGAATATATACATTACCTTTTTGTAACAGGTACCTTGTATTAATTATCAGTAACCGAAAACAAAGACTGGGCACCTTAAATGTTCCTTGTTATAGGCAAGGTGTTGTATTGACAGTGATCTTATCAGGGTTCGACTGTATTTGGTGCACATACGCAGACTGAGTTGTGGGAGAGTGCGGTGCATTGTGAGGCAAGTCGCATGGCTTCTCAAATGAGAACACACTTGGAAGTACCTTAATTGGTGTGTTCGTTTCTTCTTTGTGTGGGTCGCGATTCTCACACGTGGCGTTTTTTCGTGCCAAATAAGAAGTCGAACACCCAATCTTGTTTGGATATGGAATTAGCTAACTTCAATAGGATGGGACATAATAGGATGGGACATTTCGCTTGTACATATACCTCTAAATTTTCATGTGCTAGATGTAATTTTGTAATGTAACAATATAGTGCCGTGACGGCTCATTCCCTACCGTACCTGGGAGTTTATCTTTATTGTAAACATAAATGTGTAACAAATAGCCCGTGACATCCCACATGGACTATACCGGCCGCATATTCCAGCGGTTGGAACAATTGATTGTAATTTACTATTCTAAGAAAGTTTTCTGGAATAACTAATTTGTTGACCTTAATGGTCTATGGGTTTACTGTAGCGATTCCTATTGAGTAGAGAACATTCACACTGTTGCGTTCCTTTTTGATGGTTTGTGTGGACAGTGGTCATGGGTATCGCTATCTATATTGTGGTTACTGTTATCAATGAGTCATTGTTGCGTTCTTTGTTGATGGTTTGTGTGGATAATGGTCTTGGGTATCACTATCCATATACATGTAGGCCTAGTGGATATTGTTATCATTGAATCCTTTGTGAGTTTGGGTGTAACGTCTATGATTTCGGTTTGCCCTACCTTTTTTGGTATTCCGGTAATCTTGTATTGGTATCACTATCGGAACACATGTACATGTAGCCTGTAGATATCATTATTCATTGATGATTTACGGTGGTCAGGAGTACCGCCTAATGTTCCGGTTTGCCAAACGTTTTTGGTATTCCGGTGAATTTTCTTAAATTAAATTTAGAGCTGTGACATACACACATACAACTTGGGTGTCTGTCTACTTTATTGGAGTTTGAGTATAATGACCCCCAAAACTCGTTCTCACATGGTTCTCGCAAGAATAACATAAACAACGCACAGTGTTTAAAGAATGGTTGTGTGGACGTTTATACCCTACATTTAAATGCTCTTTCCACGTAATACAATTTCGTTTAAAACGGTTTCGTAGCCCATTGGGCGTATTTCAGTACGTAATGTCCCTTTAACTAAACGTATACGTATACGTTTCCGTTCGGATGTGAAACTACAATGGTGAGAAAGTCGCCGCAAAGAGGTTTTTTTTAACTTCTCGCTGTTCTTCTAGCTTTCGTAAAAAAACTTTCATCACTAATTTGAATTGATATAAATCGATACAACTGCTGATTCTGAAGGTTTTTCAACCTTCAAAACACCTGTGGTAAACAGGTTTTGCGCGTCCTGCCTAAATTATAATGTATTAGTAATGTTAAACTCACTGTCCTTGAAGTTGTACAGAATGAAAAAAAAATGCACAACATGAATAACATCATATGCAAAAAACCGTAAAAACTGCAGAGTCCTAACGCAAAAGGAATGCAGAACAGCGATGTATCCAGCTCTTCATGCTACAGGGGGCAAAATTAAGACTTAACTGTATCGACGTCTGAACCGTCTTAAAACCGTCGAAACGTTTACGATAAAAAAAAATAACACCTTGCTCCCCCCCCCCCCCCCGTATACGCCACTGATGCAGAATTTATGTCGAATCGCTCCTTGTACTAAGAGTAAGAGTGTTTCACATTAAATAAATTGCAGCCATTCAATGTGAAAACAATAAGGGGTCTTGTCTAATAATGTCACTATCGTGCAAAACAATCTTCCAAATGGAACACAGTCATCTTTACCTGCTATCAGTGCCAGCGCCAGTGTCAGCATTGCAACACTGGTGGAAACCGAAGCGATGATCATGGATACCCCAACCAAGAAACCACCGACCGTCACTACAGTGCGGGAACCAAACATGACCTCCAGTGGCCTAGCAAAGAGACCTTGATTACATAAGAAATGAAAAATAAAGAGATGTAAATATCAACACCCCTGCTTATTATTCGGTAAAGTGAGTACCAAGAAAAACCAAGGAACTACCCAAGTGTACTAGTAAGGTCCAACTTCCTTTCCAAAAAATGATAGGGCGGATCGGGGGGGGGGGGATTTGTGATTGGGGTGATGGCTAATTACCATTACCCCGAGTGGCCAATTTTAGTTAATTACATTCATACAAACACATTTATTTTCATACAAACACATATAAGTTTCTCTTCATGAAAGAAATGAAGAAGGGTACAAGAATTGAACAAGATATAAAGGCCACTAGAGGGGGCAAAACTTTAAAAGCATAGCTCATGTATCAGGCATGCCATTACACAAAAAACACCAGACGAATAATTACAGAAAAACAAATAATTTTTAGCAGTAAACAAAGTTATGAAAAAAAGTTATAATGGGCTATGAGTAGGATTGCCATACAAAGTCCAAGGGCAGAGACACAAAATATTTTACATTACATAAGGTAGAATTTAAGTTTATAAAGGCCGCCTTTGAGGAATCCTTGGTTTCATTACCAGAAATGATTAATAATAATAATAATAATAACAATCATAATAATTTCGATTGAGGGAAGGGCCTATTTGCGTAACGTTGTCATTGAAAGCATTTGAAATATCTTGGATCAGTGTTAGTTTTATGGTTTCCACCTATATTGAAGTCATTTTTGGGGTAATTAGCGCCTCTGTGCTCTTATCTGAGATAAAGTAGGTATACACTGGGCAGAGCCCAGGACTAACCGACATTATTGTCACTTCACTGCATCTGCCAATCTGTGAGGAGTGGTTATTATTAGTAACGCAACACACAATACGCCGCACACAGACCTTTTACACCCTAGCCTTTAGTCAAGTCCCACGCGCTTACCCAGACACGTGACGCATCCCGGATGCTGACACGTAAAAAGACTAGGACGAGTGGCGTAGCCGCGAGGGTCTTTACCATCTCGTGGGGAACGCTTATGTTTTTCTTTACATTTGTCTACCGATTTGGTAGACATGCATAATGCATTACCCGTTGTGAATTGACCAATGAAAATGCAGAATTACTAACGTAAATCATGCAGCCGTCGTCTGGCGCCAGACAGCCACGGCGCGCGTGCTATTGCTGGTAACCGCAAACCCCCGTTAGATGATTGGTTTATATTGCTTGATTTATATTACGTGAATAAATGAATAAGTGATTAGTTCCACGAGATAGTAAAGGCCCTCGCGGCTTTGCCGCTCGTGCTAGTCTTTTTACGTGATAAGAAACATTAAAATAAAAAAATACACGAAAAGTTCATTTCAGCTGCTGTCGTAGATTCTCTTGTATTTTGCACTGAATCACACACTCAATGCATTGATCGACAGCTTCCTATAATGTGATTTATTGAGGTACTGATATGTCAATGAACATTAAAAGTGTGAAATACAAATACTGTACAAAAATGTATAAACAAATTGTACACGCATGGGTCTAGATACATCATTAGCAATCAGTTCAGGCCCCGCATGATTAAACTTGTGACAAACTTCAAGCACTGCCGCTGGAACAAACTTTTGCCAGGGGGTGCTGGAATAAAGGACGGACAAAGTTAATGCGAAAGCGGAGCGCAAAGCCCTTACGTCGAGGCTTAATTTGGAATATAGATGCTCTGTGCTGCAATCTGGGGGCGATTCCTTGCCACTTTCATTTGACTTTTTTAGCAAAAGTTTTTTGAGATTATAAAGACAATTTATTTCATTATTTTGTTAAGAATATACTGTTGCTCTTAAAACATTTAACTGTAGTGGAAAAACCTGTATTTTATCTCCATTTTTGGTTCCATTTCATTCTGGAAAAATTTGTATCATTATGCATGACATCGCATGTAAATATTATTGTTGCAAGGCTGCTTTCTTACATTTAGTACGTTTTGTTCATTACGGCGTAGGCCCACAGGGCCAGGGGCCGCTTTAGTTCTATCTCACCAAACGATGTAGCTCGCCCTTCATGGGGACGTGTCACGGTGAACCTTGCTATTTGTTAATCCGTGAGTACAGAATGCTAGCAACGTCAATGAAACTTTTAAATGAAAAGAAAAACCTTCAGGGGAAAGGTATGAACATTTGCCCCTTATTGAAAGATCGAATGAAAAAAATCCTGGCAGGCATAATCAACTTTGCTACCATTGTCATGGCTTAGGTTATTGCTTTCGGGTCAAAGCTTCCATCATGGCGGAAATATCATAGACATGTCATGATGTTGGATACCTTGAGAGAAATATCGATTCTGCACTACCTGAAGATTTAGAAAATACCTCCTCTTGATATTTTTCATACCAGATGTTCCCTTTTCCTTTTTACAGAGAAAGTTTATGCTCCGCTGCGCCATGTGTTCATTTAATTCATCCTCTTGGTAACTTTATCCCAACAGTATAGAGATGTTGTTTCACACTGTACATGCTCTGTTATTTCGGTTGTGTAAAAACCAAACAGTTGTGTACTATATGAACCTAGCAACCTGTTGTGTAAACTGTTGTTTACACAACAGTGTAAAATATTACACAATTTGTTTTTTTACACAACTGGTTGCTAGGTTCATATAGTACACAACCGAAATAACAGTGTTACTCATGTTCTGACACGTATTAAAGGTAGCTAAGCGCAATTTTAGACCTTTTTAATTTGTGTAAACGTTTGATGTTGAGACCACAAGAATTTTTGCTTTTGACCTGACTGGCCAAGTTGCGAATTAAATACATGTAGATTTTCAAACGACTGAAATCGGAAATGTATTAAAAAACTAGGCAAACATATTAAATATGTAATAAACACGAATTCAATATAATTACCTGAGACATTAACAACGCCATTAATGATCGATATCATCCAGCCGATCAGCCAGGTCTGGGCGGTGAACTGTTCCTGCAATGTAGGCAGCATCACACCAAGACTTTTCAGTATTCCTGCCCAAAGCAACCAGCTCACGAACAAGCAGAAAACCGCACACCAGCCCTGGCGGCTCGAACCACCGACTTGAGCCTTGCCCATGGTGAACAGTGGAGCACGTAAATGGCGCGATATGTCGTGAACAACTCATAACAGCTTATAATTATATGAATGGTGAACAATTTGCGTGCGCGGTTTTGTGCTCATCAACAGATGCATATTGTTTATTATGCGGTTGAATGACTCGGAATTCAAAGAATTTCCAATTGGTGTTAACAGGCGGCCTAAATAGAATTTCCAATTGGTGTCACAGGCGGCCTAAATTTGCTACTTTGCCTTCACCTTAATAGGTCCACCATGGATGTGCATTTTCGGGTAAAAGTAGGCCAACTACCAAAAGTTACCTACATCATCCAGCGCCACGTCCACGACACACCAATAAATGAATGGGGAAATAAAAACAAAATAATAATCTGGAAACATTTTCCAAGAATTCTGCTTGATATTCTTTTCGATATTTTCTTCTGGTTCCTTTTTGTCCGTCGAATAACGACGTGATTACATCAATTTTTGGACATTAATGCACGCATGTGATCGGGAAAACCGAAACAATTTATGGTCGTTAGCTCTGATGAAATCCGTCCTTTACAGAAGAAACGTTATAGCCACTGCAGGCTTCCGAAAGCTAAACAGATCGGCTGTTAGTTTTGTTGCATACCAACCACCGGCATAGTAATCCCTTTCTCATAGGCCTAAAAGAGCATTTTGTAAATCATTCACTAAAAAAAGTCTTACATTATGGACTGGAAGAGCAATTTATGGTGGCTGTCTCCGAAGCTTTGGCGGCAATGTAAATTCCATCGTCCGTCTGGCTAGACTTTCACATGCGACACAGACTTTCGACAGATGGTATATAATTATTTGCACAAGACAATAAGATTATTTACGAGGATGATGGACATAGCATTATACAATGGGCGGCAATCCTGGCAGAAGGTGACATGCCACAATCCCCCCCCCCATTTTTTTTTTTTGGGGGGGGGAGCAAAACGCACTGACTCGCCCTTCTTTATCCACGCAGTGTGTATGTATATAACATTAATTTTAGGCAGAATAGTTGCCCGGCGTTCAACCATAGAGCCATATTAAATACATACACTTGTATTTTCCATATTTTCAAACGTTATTAAACTCCACAATGAACATTTATCCAATCCGCACTAAATCAGTATTCACTTCCCATTTTTGAACAATGACGTCATCAAGCCAGAAATAACTTTTATGTGTACATAGAATGTAATTTATCAAACCGTTAAAGATTTTTTTTTAATAAAGAAGTGATTGTAGTGGAAAGGATTTAATTTCGTGATCTTTTGTTCTTACATAAACATATTCATGACTTAACTCGGCAGTGTTTGATGAAAAAAAATGCCTGCCTGACCACTCTGCGTTTGTAACTCAGAGTTAACTTTGTCATTCTGTTCTTGGATGAAGATTACTCAATTTGTACCTTTCACCTCTTCTCCAATAAACAGATCAGACTTAATAAAAGTGCAAACCGCGACCCATTTTTCATGGCCTAAATCCCAACACTGGTCACAAATGTGCCATAATTGTAACTTTACTTTACTTTATTTGAAATTATGCAAATTAATATACGGCATTTGGCAAATTTGGGAAACATAGGGATCTTGAAAGGTACCCAGGACTAGAATAATGATGAAATCAATGTAAAAGGACTTATTGTTGTTTAAAGTACCCCAAAAAGCAATGTAGGGAAAGAATTATGGCCAAATCAATATGGAAATCGTATAATAAGTGGCCATTTTGAATTGATGCCAATTTGGCATACTTCCACCACTTGGATTTTGGGTTTTTCCCCTCTTTATTTATGTATACATACCGGTAACTGAACTTGTATTTTCAGGGAAAATTCAATGTCGACATGTCCACACATGGCAGCCATGATTTTAATTTTTATTTATGCAAATTAATATACGGCATTTATGCAAATTAACACGCGGCATTTGGCAAATTTGGAAAACATAGGGATCTCAAAGGTACCCAAGACTAATGATGAAAAATTGGAAATTGTTGTTTAAATTACCCCAAAAAGCAATGTAGATCGAGAGTTATGGCCAAATCAAAATGAAAATCATATAATTAGTGGCCATTTTGAATTTATGCCAATGTGGCATATTTCCACCACTTGGAAAAATGACCAAATCAATGTGAAAGTCCTAAAATATGCGGTCATTTTGGATTGATGCAAATTAGGCATATTTCCACCACTTGGATTTTTTTGGACTTTTAGTATGTCATTTTATGGACCTTATAGAAATGCACTGTGGTGAAAAAAATTCTGTTGCAATTTGATTGAGGTCAAACCTTATATTGCCTGGACTAATAGAGCCATATTAAATTACGATCAAATTTGGTCGTTCGTCAAAATGGGAGTTGATTACACTGCGCAGTGTCGCGTGCACACAGCAAATAAGCGATCCGTAACTTCGTACTGTAGCGAAAGTGTTGTATTAACATGTAGGTTGGTTAGGAAACTAGCACAACCTAGAAAATCCCCCCCCCCCCCCCGAGCAATGTCGACGTGACTCGGCGCAGAGATGTGATTGGCTGCGCGTCGCCCAGCATTGTTCTGTGTGCTGTGGAGACGTACAGACGTGGTCAGACATTCAGTTTGTTAATGAACGTTGGTGAGTGGACAGTCAGTCGTCTTTGTTGGTGAGACGTGTGGTGAAGAGGTAAGCACGAACTTTGTGTGTGTGTGGTTTGCTAGGATCGGCTTTGTGCCGTGGGTAGCGCTTACTATAGGGAGCCGAGATCGCTAGGTTGTTGCCGGCGAGCTTTGTGTAGTCGGCCCGGTAGTGTGTAGTTCCACGTTGTAGCGGAGAACATATTAAGTAAGCCGTGCATTGGGAGTAGCATCAGCCAAAGGTGGTTGAGTGTGCCAAGTATTGGGAGAGGTGTTGTTGGTGTATACTGCTGTGGGATACACCTTTACGGTGAATAGCGGTGAACGTGTACTGACCTTGCTTTCATACGGCTGCGTTCCCTAGGTAGCTGACTAGCGACCCAAGCAGCTAAGTAAGCCACATTGAGCGTCTGTAGCTTTAATTGTTACCTCAGAACTGCTATAATAACGACTTTTGTAGTTTGTAAGCCTTGTAGTAATTAGCCAAACAGCGAAGTAGTCAGCCTTGCACATCGGGTAGTAAGCCAAACAGCGAGGTAGTCAGCCTAATTGCACATCGGGTAGTAAGCCATACAGCAGGTTTAATTAATAATAAAAGGGTTCCCCAAATCCAAGAAGCTTCATCTGGTCATTTAATTATCCATCATTCATAAGACAATTGCTGATTCAATAAATCATATCTCCGTCCGAGGAAGAATGTGGGTTCTGGAGCAATGCAACACAAAATGGTGTCAGAAGTGGGATTGGAATTGATTTAGTAAATTCGCTAATAAGTTGGAAGCTTTGGGAGGGCTTACGAAATTGTTTGGTGTTGTTAAAAAGGGTCCGTTTGTTGGATATCGTGGCCATAAGCAGACAGCGTGGTGCGGTTGCCTCCCCAGGTGAGAGTAAAGTACAGGCACTCGAAGAGGAATTGAGTCGCCTGGGGATGGAGCATCAGTTGCTGCATCTAGAAAAGTCTGCAAAAGCGGCTGAGCTAGAGAAATGTCGGCTTCGGGTTGACCCGGAAATTGAGTTTCGAGTCTCAGGCGAAACTGGCAATGAGTCTTTCGGGGCAAAGGCGATGATGCCGAGTGTGGGGATGTCCATGAGGGCAGAAAAGAGGTGCACATTAATGAGAGTAACACCCTTTAGGAAACCTGCATTGGACGTGTCGGCAGAGCTTAAAACGCCGGTGGCTAAGATGCCTAGTGCGTTTGAGGAAGATGGTCTGAGTAATATACCGATTTCGAAGTGATTCGGCACGGCAGAATCCCTTTGCAGAGTGACAGGAGGTTTTGACCCCTGAGAAGTTGAGGCCAGAACTTATGAGTTTTGCTACCCGAGTAGGCGATAGTGTTGACCGATTGGGAAATGGTGCAGTTGTTGAAAAGGAGGTTTGATTCCGGCTTGCAGGCTGGGAATTACTTAGTTTGATTGCGACATCGTCGGCAAGGGCCGAAGGAGTGTTTCAATTGAGGTGGGACAGGCCATTTTACAAGAGGTTGCAAGAAGCCACCCAAAGGAAACAAAGTTCCAGCAGGGAAACGGAGACCAGCCAAACGGAGGACCCGCGGGCAGACTGGAGACTCCGAAGGGTCCTCCACAGGTATATGTGGGGTCTTGTCCCAAGTACAAGATTGAGATGAAAAAGTCCTAGCTTACGCTAGCCGTAAGCTGAACGCAATTATTGCGTGACACGATGAGAGTTGTTGGCAGTTGTCGTATACCTTAAGCACGTCCGGCAGTATTTGTATGGCTGAAAAGTGACGTTGAGAACAGATGATGCTGCACTTCGGTGGTTGCTCAGCTTTAAGAACCCCCGAAGGTTAGGTGGCAAGATGGATTCAGATTATTTCTGAGTACGATGTAGAGATTCAGCAAAGGTCGAAGAAGAAACACGGTTATGCTGATGGGCTGTCTCGACAGCCATGTATGTATTGTGGCCTAAGTGAGGCAGCTGCTGAGAAAAATTAGGTCAATGAGGATTATTGGAGCCAGGTCAAACCAGAGGAGACACTGGCTAGGGGCAAAGAGGCTCAGCCGACATTGACAATGAAGTCTTGAGGGAAGCCCAGTTGGCCGACAATTGTATGGGTTGGCTCATCAGAGCCAAATAGAGTTGTGACAGTCGCCCAGCTTGGCCGGCGGTGTCCCACACCTAAGCAGGTAGTAAGACACTTTGGTCTTTATGGGCAAAGATGGTTGTGAGAAATGGACTTCTCTATCGGAGATGGGAGTCCGATGATAGGAAGGTGGTGCTGCCAGTAGACCATCGGATCGAAGTCTTGTTAGAGCTGCATGGAGGGCTGCTCAACGGCCACCTTGGAGTTAGAAAGACCGAGGCCAATTAAGGTAAGGCTGAGGTACTACTGGCCAGGCGTAGCGGCCGATATCAGGTCGTTTATTCGTAGTTATGACAGCAAGGACGGGTACGGCACCCTTGCAGCACTGTATAGGGTTGGTGAGCCCATGGAGAGGGTGGCAATCGATTTGCTCGGGCCACTGCCAAAGAGCAATAGCGGGAATCGCTGGATCCTTGTAGTCGCTGACTACTGTACAAAATGGATGGAGGCCTATCCGATTCCAGATGCCACCGCCACAACAGTTGCCCTCAAGTTGGTTAACGAGTATATCTGCAGGTTCGGGGTTCCACAGGAACTGCACTCGGACCAAGGCAGTAACTTTGAGTCGGAGGTGTTTGGCGAGGTATTGCAGATCTTAGGCATCACTAAGACTCGTACCACCACCTATACAATCCGAAATCTGACGGGTTGGTCGAGCGTTTAAACAAAACGCTTGTGAACATCGTTTCGGTGTTGATTGATCCCAAGAGACGACAACGGGACTGCACTGGGATGAGTTCCTCCCGTATGCCACATCCGTGTACCGAGGTACACCCCAAGATTCTACGGGTGAATCGCCAAATGTGATGATGCTAGGCAGAGAAGTCAGTTTGCCGATCGACTTGGTGACTGAGTGTCAGGAGGTCGAAGTTGATGATCCTGGGCTAGACTTTGCAGAGAACTTGTGTAAGAATAT